AGTGTACCTATTCTCGTTTCCTTTGCCATAGTATTCGTGATTTCCAGTTTCGGATCATTGGTTTGATATACTCCCAAACGTTTAGTCTGCACCGTTGTGGCATCACTAAATGGATATCCAGAAGATGCAGTACAGCGCAGCATACGAATGCTTACGAGCAGATGGTCGATGGACGAACAGATGAGTGATGCCACAACAATTGAACAGAAGATTGGTCAAGTTGGGGAAAAAATGTCGAACCACTATAAAGCTGAAGAAGATTGCCACCAAACAGAAGACAACATCATCTTGGTTTTGCTGTCTGCAATAAATCTTCATTTTCCGTTTTTAATGATACCGCAGTTTTGACTACGATGTAAATTGCAATCCCAAAAGGAGTTTCCAAGTCCTTTTCTCAGATAGAGCTTACTTCCGGCACATTTTAAGGAAGGATACATGTATCTTTCTGCTCTTATTCGCAGTAAATATTTCTTAACCATTCATTATATGTCCAATATACTCTTTTATTTCTAATTATCTATTTATACATTTTTTAATATTTTTCGTTCATAAGTAGGCTTTCGAGATAAGACATGCCAGCCAGTCCTTTATTACCTTAAACTAAATTGAGTGAATAGGTCTCAGATTTTTATATATCACGCTTAAATGTCATCCTTAGTGCTGTTCATGTTGATACATACATACATCCCAAATACTAGTCCGCATCAAGCATCAAGCATACATGCTGTTGTCATGCCTCTTCTTTTTACTAGTCCATTACAGCTTTGTGTCAATTAAAACGACTTCTCTAACTTTAATAGTTGTAGCTGGTCAGTCGTGTTGTTACTAGGCCTACCACATCAATGTGAAGAATGAAGAATTGGGAAGATGACACCATTGTGTCTTTTATCTTACTCAATTGACTTGGTCATTTTGGCAAACCCTCGAGGCTCCTTGCAGTCGGTCATGTTGTCACTACCCTCAATTGTATCAGTTACCTCTATCAGCCTCAACAGTCAATTGGGTAGCCTCGGTGACAAATGTTAAACGAGTTGGTTTGGACGGATTGCGCAATAGCCGAACGGCATGGGTTCAGTTTAGGCAAGCCGAATGATGACCGGTAGAACGGTGAAGAGGTCGAAGCGTGACCCCGACCAGCCACGCAATAGACAAGAGGAGAACGGATAAAAACGGACAAACGAATATGCAGAGAATTAGAAAGAGACACCAAAAAACCAAAAGAGACCAAAAGAGACAACCCGCATCCAAGCGATCAGAAGTTAACACTCGGCGAATAAAAGCCGTCCTGAGAGATGGGCAGATGTGTGAGAGAATGTTTGTTTAGCAGCAGGAGGCTGAACCAGGATGACTAGATTGTTGGCAAGCGGACAAATGGACAACTGGGCAAATGGACAAACGGACATACAGACAAGCGGACAAATGGATTTCATACAAGCATACAAATGGACACACGGACAAGCATACAAATGGACACACAGACAAACAGACAAGCGGACAAGGAAAGAGGCGGACTAGTGGTTAGTAAGAGGAGGACAAGAATACTAACGAACAAGGGGTCAAACTAAATGACGGGTCAATCAAGGCTGTTCGTCACCAGGTCCCTTCTCTAAGCTGTCAGGCCCTGGGAGGGTTACAATGCTGGCATGTGTGAGTGTGCATGGGGTTGTTTGGATTAGAGTGGGCCTGGACGACCGATGTCATGACTGGGTTGTGGGCAAGCCCCGGAAAGGTACAGGCCCGCGCGTCTGGAACATGTCCGACCTCGTCACTGGCGCAGGACAAGGTTTGAGTCATCGCGATGATGCATGTCGTAACCACAACTCATTTCATCCATGCTCTCCTCGACTCGAATGGGCCGGACGAGTGTGAATTTTAGGCTGGTCCTCGGCTTCGCGACATTTGAGCGATACAGAATTTGCAATCTCATTTTTACCAGACTCAGGTGACATTCGCCGACAGCACTAATGCTCATTGCGGTCGGTCGGCATGACTTCCGACAGACAGGCCTCTTGTTGCTACGCGACTTGGCCCAGAGCCGTCAAGGATGACAGGTTCCGATGTCACGGCGAACCAATCAAGCGAGTAGTTGCTGGCCGTTCTTAGAAAGATGATTTGTTTTCGCTATTAAAACGGCTAACAAATGAGAAGTGACAAGTATTGAGGAGAGCCTACGGATCGGGATCGGGATCGGGATCGGGATCGGGATCGTATGAAAGTGCATGAAGGAGAGATTCGTATGTTGATCTCACCACAACACTAACGTTGAATCCCATTTTATTGCCACATTTACGAGGCATAGGCCCACACTAGTCGATGATATGAAGAAAATCATGAGGGATGGAACTTATAATTGTGGATTGAAGAGAAAACCACTCTTACGAAACGTGGGAAACTTTCTCGTGGATTGCACAAGTGAGTGCATGTGTATGTTCACTTGTCTACACAATACGTGTACCAACCCAGAGTGATCATAAAGGCTTACATCAGGCTGTAGTCATGACGGTTTAATGACGAAACGTTGAAATTTAAGAATAAATTTAAGTCTAACCGTAAAGGCATATTCACGAAAGATAATTCGTTGTCCAGATCTAAGCATCATGGATCTGGATCAAGAGGTTCTGTTCTCAGCTTGAAGGATGATCT